GTCGTGTGTCAACGTCATCATAAACTTCAATGTCAAACTCTTATATGTTGGCTCAATAATTTGGAAGAAATTACGCCATGCCCCAACCGAAACAAGCTCATCTACTTCCCTTTCTATGCCTAATGTCTCCAATACTTTGCTGTCAATATGTTTACTCGTCAAAAAAACTTTATCTTTCAACCGCTCATATCGCTCTACGAGCTCTTGTTCTTGAAAATTCAAAAACCGACCACTTAAATCTGTATTCTCCCTCGATGAACCAGCATCGGTCGATACTCCCTTGCCGCTCCATTGTTTTCCTCGTTTAGGTGCCATTCCTTAAAGTTAACAAGCACAAAGCATTATAACATAACATTGCTAAAAAAATCCAACAAAATCTCAATAAACACAACACCAAAAATAAAACATTATATGACATTGTTCGAAAAAATCCAACAAACCATACCAAGAACAAACCATTATACTACATTGTTAAAAAAAATCCAACAATAAGTAGTTCAAAATTGAAAAAAATTCATATAATTTTCAAATCCAAATGTATACCACAATGTGAGAGATATAACAAGTAAAAAAATTGTATCAACAACAAACTACTTGAAAAAATTAAAGAAAAAACCTTTTTTCCCGAATCTTTAAAATCAAAGCAAGGAAACAACCCAAATCAGCCGCCCCCGAACTCGTCGTCTATCGCCGCCGCCACCGCCCTCGTCGTCCGTCGCCGCCGCCCTCGTCCTCTTTCGCCGCCGTAGTTGCCGTCGTCCAGGAGGATGCCTAGGTCGAACACGGGAGATTTGTATATATTGTTTCCCGTGTTCGACCGATCCGGGTTTCTAAAAAACCTGACCCGACTCGAACACGGCCGTGTTCCAATATCACACGCCCGTGTGTGATATACAATGAATTCTCTTATACGAACTCAACACGGCCGTGTATCAGACGCACACGGTCGTGTAACCAAACACGGCCGTGTACAACCCCCCTGGACTATTATGTTTTCACAACACGCCCGTGTGCGTATGTACACGGGCGTGTTTCTTGTATACGAGGTAAATGTGTAAAACAGGGCTAACACGGGCGTGTATTTATCAAACACGGTCGTGTTGAGTTGCACGTTCAAATAATGGGCGTGTCAACCCCTGGGTTCTTTTTTTGAACACGGCCGTGTTTTATGTAACACGACCGTGTTCGACTACACGGCCACTGACATGGCCGTGTCTAACCCATGGATTTTATTCTTTTTTGGAACATGGCCGTGTGTAAATCGACACGGCCGTGTTGAAGTAAACGGCCACAGACATGGCCGTGTCTGAGCCCTCTGTTCTACTCTGTTTTCGAAACACGGCCATGTGGTTGTCTAACACGGCCGTGTTCTATGTACATTGAGTCAAGCTCTATGATTCCTATGTCTTTGTAAGACACGACCGTGTTTGCAATTTTTGGAATCGAAATGTATGCGTACACGGCCGTGTTCTATGTTACACGCCCGTGTTTAACCTTAAATTTTGGCTAAAACCATTGTTAAAATTAACGCATCCAAACACAACACCTACACACAAAAACAATACCAACTAAATAACTCAAATTCATCCATATGTCAAACCCATAACAAACATAAGTCATATTCATACACAATAACAAATGACAAACAACATAAGACTAATCCAAATACAGTAACATAAGCCAAATTCAAAGAGAATAACACAAATCAACTCCACAAACATGCCCCAAATTCATATTTTCTCTCAATGTGTCTCACTCGATGTTCCGCGTTCAGTTGTTGCTCCCCTTCTAAAAGTTCTTTTTCTCACCTATTTCATACAAACGGTAAGAGTTTATTGTAATAAAAAAATCAATATATCAACACACCACGTAAGTTGCGTACCGTTAACTTTGCAATTGAAGGTTGTATTGTAGGAGTCTCGGCTTGTTGAATTTGTGGAGTTGAGATACTTTCACTTTGCGCCAGAATATCGCATCTCTGCGACAACTCCTCAGCAAGATGCATTCCGTCCGCCGTGGAATTTGATTCGATCAAACTTGCTCTCTTTTCTTTTGGCAACCCTTCAAAGTATGTCCAACAAGCCCACCAAATTTGCAAGTTCTTCTGACTTTTTGTCTTGGTAAAATACTCTCACTAACCTTTTTTCCCCGTGATTGACCTTTCTCCATTACTTCATTGGGTCACGTCTCCTTGCCTTTTTAGTCCTTCCAACAGCTCATTTAACATTTGGGGAAGTGGTGGAGGCAATTCAGTTTTTGGCCACATTTTTTGACCATCCATTGCGCCAATAGAATACAAATACACTTTATTGAATGTCTCAACACTGTATATTTCGTCAACAAAATCCTCTGGATTTAACTGTTGTCCACATATAGCACTCATCGCATGGCGACATGGGATACCACATAACTCCCATTTTCTACAACTGCAGGATTTTTAAAAATATCAACAACAAATCGATTCCCATCCGAACAATAAATCTCGTAACACCAATCATTGACTTTAACGGGTGCACAAGAAGAAGCCGCTTGAATGTTTTTTTCCATAATTTTTACTATATTGGGGCAAAAGCGCATATCCCCCCATTTTCTATGCGTCATCTCCCTTCGTTTCTGAAGACGTGTTAATAAATATCTTCTAATCCACTCCAATATCGGCAGTATCGATATTTCTCTTGCATATAATATTATACTATTGAATGATTCACATAAATTGTTCAAGATCATATCATATTTCGAAAATGTAGCAAAATGTGATCTTGACCACTGAGACGGTGGCTTGTCGGCAAGCCAATCAATGCATTTCGGATCCAACTGTTGAATCTCCTTCATCACCTCCTCAAAGTCGGGGACAATACTTACATCGGCGGCCATCCAAATCAATATTTTATATGCAAGACCCTTAAATCCAATTGTTTTCATATTTTCATACAAATGTCGAACACAAAATCTTTTTTCGCATTGAGGAAAAATCTTTTCCATGGCCGGAACAAAACCTTTTTGTTTGTAAGATATAAATGTATAACCCTCGTGCTCTATGTTCAAATCCTCCCGTAGAAGAGTGAAAAACCATTCCTACGCTTCGTACGTCTCACTCCCGACAACAGCATATGCCAAAGGAAACAACTCATTGTTAGGATCAATTCCAATAGTAGTCAAAAGAATGCCTTGGCAAGGACCTTTTAGGTGAAAACCATCCACCCCAATGATAGGTCGACATCCAGACTGAAACCCACGTACAAGCGATTTCAAACATATGTAATACTTGCTAAATCTGCGTCGTCCATTCAAAAATTCGCCTTCCAATTGTATCAAAACAGTTGACCTAGGATTAGACTGTCGTAAAGCTTCAGCATAGTCCCACAACTTTCCATATTGCTCTTTAGCATCACCTTCAATTGCGTTCAGTGCCCATTTTCGTGCTTTGTATGCTTGCTGTTGGGATATATTGCATCTAATGTCTTATGTGACGTCTGTCCTAAACCCTTTTATACGTCGTTTAGGATCTGATCGAAACAACGACTCATACTTTCTTGCAAGCCATGTCGACTTCACATTTTTCACATTCAAGTCGCACATACAATCATGATTGCAATTATATGTCCTTAGTTGAAAAGATGCTTGATCATTCACCTTTAACACATTCATTTTCCAATTGCAGTTCTCAACAACACATCGGATATAAACTCTTCTTTTTATCATTCTTGACAAATTTCAAACTTCTCATTGTCTTGATAGCGTGATTCTGGACCGGCTCTTTAAATTCTTTTTTAGAGCTAAAAATCATTCCAAGACTAAAATTGGGATCATACTTTGACGGTGGATCATAAATGACATACGATTCCATTTCATCAACATCGGATTCAACAAACATGGTTAAATCTTTTTCTTGAGAATCACCAAATGACATGTCATCTTCGGAATTTTGGTGCACCACGACACTTTGATTTTCATTAAACTCATTTATATCAACATTATTCTCGAACAATGACCAATCAATCCTATCATCCTCCGAATCTTGTTCTTCCATCATATAATCGGAATCCTCAAAATCCGATTCATTAAGCATTTCATTCCACTCATCTTCTTCTCGAATTTTATTGCAATCCAAATTTACATCTTCATCGTATATTTCTTCGACACATTTTCCTTTATCATAACTCATTTTTATGATAAATAATTTTCTCCTATAATACAAGTGAGGATATAATACATATTGAATACACTAATTATAAAATATAAAAAATTATGCATAAATTATAAAACAATACATTATATAAAACTTATTTCTATAATATTTAACTTTTCATACAATATAATCCATTAATCACTAGAATATACAATTCATACATATTATTATTTTTTATACCATAAAAGACAATAAAGATATGAAAAAAACAAATTAAAAATTACCTCCACAATAGATTCCACGAGAATATTCTTCATTTCAAAGAGATAAAATATAATATATGGAAAGTAAGGTTAATAGATTGGAAAAGTGGGGCTGGAATGAGGAAGAAATGAGACAGAATTTGAGTGAAATAGATTTGAAATGAGAAACATACGGGGGGCTAGGGTTTTTGTCAACAATGAGGTCGAACACGGCCGTGTTTACTTACAATAATGAGACCAATTTTTTGAGTGTAGCTAGTTTTGATAATTATTTTTGTATGAGACCAAAAATGAAAAAATTGAATTTAAATGTGACTAATAATGATTTTTACTATAAAAAAAAAATTGTCATAGAATAAGAGTGATAACATGTAATAATATTTGTAAAATATAAATTATTGGTGAAAGAATTAAAAGAATGGATTGAATCACAATCAAATATTGAGTTGAGAAATTTTAGTCAAATTATCTATATTTTTTTAATTAATATTGATATAATTTTGATTTTAATAGAATAATATATAAATTTTTTAATTATAAATAGGGGGACTTGAATTAAAATCCCTGTCAGACAAATATACATTTTATTCAAAATATTTGCCCTAATCTAAACATCACCCATCGCCACACTACACCAGTTCTTCCCCGTTCTCTCTTTCCTTTCCTTCCTCCTCCTTTTCTTCCTTCTTTTTCTTCTTCTTCACTCACCTTGCTGCCTGCTCCGTCCGGTGACTGCTTAGAGCCCAACCGTGAGGTTAATACAGATTGCAAAAAGCCAAACCGCCGTACGAAACCGGTTGGGCAAGTCTAAGTAGGAAGGAGGACTGAATCTGAGCGACTAACGTTAGGCCGGAGATTCCCTTCCCTTCTATTGATACCCACTTCCAATAATTTCGTCTCTTGCGCCCATTCTCTATTTCTTTACTTTCATATTTAATGGGCACATTGCAATGGGTTTTCGTTTAAGCAACTCTCGGATTTCTCTACAGCTCTCAACTCTTCTGGGTGGATATGATGGCGGACAATTCCTTGACGCAGCCGGGTTACACTCGGCGATACGAGGGCGACGAATTCAAGGAAAGCAAGTTCACGGTAGCTCTTTGCCCGTGCGTTTTCTGCTCAATTCTTTTAATTATTGTAGCTTCGGTAGTTCTCACTGTCAAATTCCGTTTATATTGCCACACACCTCTTCACTCTATCCTGTTCAAAAAAGCCTGCAAGTAGGAGAACAACAAAACTTCTTGCTTGGCTTAAATCTGAACTGTTTACCATATAGTAGGAATGAATATAGGCTCTATTGTATTTCTAAGGGTGTCGATTCAGAGCCTTCTGATTTTGAGGTTGGGGGTGAGCGTGACAATGAATGTTCGGCAGTTGAGGTTGATTTAAAGGAGGTGGAAAGGGTTAGCAAAGTGATCAATGAAACTTTTTCTATGGATAGGAATATGGAGGCTGTTTTGGATGAATGTGGGGTGAATTTGAGTCATGAATTAGTGTTGTCTGTGTTGGATAGATTCAAGCACGCTAGGAAACCTGCGTTTCGGTTTTTTGGCTGGGCTGCAAATCAGGTTGGTTTCAATCATAATTCCATGACTTACAATGCTATGATGAATATACTTGGAAAGGCTAGGCAGTTTGAGACTATGGTGTCGGTGCTTGAAGAAATGGGAGAGAAAAAGCTGCTCACAATGGAGACGTTTATTATTAGCATTCAAGCTTTTGCTGCTGCCAAAGAGAGAAAAAAGGCTGTTGGGGTGTTTGATTTGATGAAGAAGCATAATTTTAAAGTCGGTGTGGAGACAATCAATTGCTTACTGGATGCCCTTGGGAAAGCAAAACTTGCAAAGGAAGCTCAGATGTTGTTTGAGAAGCTGGAGTTGAGTTTCACGCCGAACTTAAAGACTTACACTGTTTTGCTCCGTGGTTGGTGTACAGTGAAGAATTTGCTCGAAGCTGGGAAGACTTGGAATGAGATGGTTGATAATGGTTTTAAGCCTGATATCATTGCTCACAACATTATGATTGAAGGGCTGCTGAGGGTTAATGCTCGGTCGGATGCAATCAAATTGTTTGAGATGATGAAAGCTAAGGGTCCACTGCCTAATGTGAGGAGCTATACAATCTTAATCAAGTATCTGTGCAAACACGGTAACATGACAGAAGCTATCGACTATTTCAATGATATGCTTGATTCTGATTGTCCAGCAGATGCTGCTTTATATACTTGTTTAATGACCGGTTTTGCCAATCAGAAGAGGATGGATATGGTTTATTGGTGTTTGCAAGAAATGGAGGAGAGATCCTGCCCACCTGATGGACGGACATATAATGCTCTGATCAAGATGCTGACAAGTCGACATAATCCGGATGATGCTGTTAAGATATATAAGAAGATGATCCGCAGTAACATCCAGCCGTCCATTCACACTTACAACATGATGTTGAAGTCCTTCTTTGTCACTAAAAAATATGAAATGGGGTTTATGGTTTGGGAAGAGATGAAGAAGCGCGGGTGTTGTCCCGATGAAAACTCATACACTGTTCTCATTGGAGGACTCATGAGGCAGGGGAGATCTGATGAGGCTTGTAACTACTTAGACGAAATGATAGAGAAAGGGATGAAGGCTCCGCAGATTGATTTCAAGAAGTTCGAAGTTAACTTTTCTTGGGCAGGTAGACAACACGCAACAAGCAACTTAGCTCAAAGGATGAGCTTCTCAAGAAACTCTGGCTCAGCTAAATTGTTGGAAAGATTGCGAAGATGGTGACAAAAGATCTGCCTGTGCTGGTGCCGTAGTTCTGCTGCTTGATGTGGCTGCCTGAAAATCTGAATCACTGGTGGAGCTGTGGAATTGAGTTGTTTTTGGTGGTGCAAACTATGGTTTTTTTTGTTGTAAATAAGTGTTGTTCAACGCAAATATGTCAAATTCTTTATAATCCGGTACTTGTTTCGAAATTTATTTATGTGATTTGCATTGGTCCAGCAAAAAATTGTATTTTGTTGCATTATATCTACTGAGTGTTGTTATGATGACCCTTTTTGAATAAAGATTTTTTATGATCAAAATCTTCATATTCATATGGCTTGAGTTTCTTCTTCCTTTCGGGTTGTGCTGTTGCTCGTTCAACCTGTACTGTTCGGTCCTAAGTATTTTCTTTTGGGCTCCGTTTGGATTGACTTAAAAAATAAGCAGAAGCCAAAAGTAAAAGCAGAAGCAGTTTGATTTTGTGTTTGGATAAATCATTATAAAAACAAAAAACTGTTTGTGGTTGGATAAATCATTATAAAATCAGTTTTTCTAAAAAAACCGTTGGAAGTTGTATAGTTGAAAGTGTTTTTAAATTGTTAAAATTATTTAAAAGGACATGCGGTTAATATTATACTAGTTTTTCTATAACACTTTTTATAAATTATATTTAAAGATTTTAAATTAAAGTATAAAAAATGTACTTTTTAAATTTTGATTATTTATATTTTAAAATTTTAATTTAAGGATAATATATCAATTAAACATAAAATTACAGTATAATACTATATAATTTGTATTTTATAATTTATTTTAAAATTTTATAAATTATATTTAGTAATTTAAGTATAATTAAAAAAATTATATACTCCTATTTACATTCGGTATTTAAATTTTAAATTTTAATCCAAATATAGTACGTAAATTAAAAATAAAAATTAATTATATTTTTTAATTTGTATTAAAATATAATATATAAGTTATTTATTTTTATATTATATTATATTATTGTATTTATTATAATAATAATAATAATTATTATTATTATTATTAATAAGGATAAAACAATAATTTTAATTGAAAAGTACTTCTATTTATTTCAAAAGCTACCCCTAGTATGCTTCTGAAAAAACACATTCTTTTGGACAGAAGCCAATGCAAACAAGTGCAAACTGCTTTTTCTAGAAGCAGAAGCAAAAGCTCCTGCCAGAAGCCAATCCAATCGGGACCTTAATAAATTATCATAAAAACAGTAGTGATTTATGATGGACTAATTTTGAAAAATGATTTAAAAACAAATAATACATATATGTATATATATAATGATATGTTAGGATTATGGCATCAAGCAGAACCTTAACAATGATAAAAATAAGAATGAGAAACGTAGTTCGGTTACATCCACGGGTAAAGACAGAACAATCTTTCACTATAAAGTATAAAGAGAGAAATACAAAATAGGCTCGAATAACAATTCTAACCCCCACAACTCTCTATCTCCCAAAAACACCCCCAAGGCAGAACAAGTAATCTACGAATATATATGGAAAGACTATTTGTCTAATTTTGGTGTGTCTAAAACTTAACTCAAGATTACCAATTTATAGGGGAGACTTATGACAACTTTGTCATCACAAGCAATGTGGGACAATAATTTTTTTCAATTTAAAATACCCCAATGTAGGACAAATATACATAACAATTCTTCATCTTAGCGTGTCCAACATTGACAAAATAGTGAGCTTGCTCCACCTTCTCCACAAAAGTCCCGTCGGGCTAAATCATCAACACTGGACTCCAATCTAGCTCAAGCATTGTTTGAACTTGAGGATTGGAAGAAATTTTGTAAACATATCAACAAGATTCTCTTTTGTTTCAATTTTCTGAATGTAGACCTTCTTTTCAACAATGATATCTCGGATGAAGTGATACTTTACATCGATGTGTTTCGTTTTGTCATGATTCCTTTGGTCTTTAGTCAAGTGTATCGTACTTTGACCGTCACAATAAATAACAGTAATACTCTGATATAGACTGAGCTCGCCCAAAGACATTTCAACCATAAAACTTCTTTAATTGCATATGTCACTACAATATATTTTGGGTTTTTTAAATAAATGTCCTAAGTCAAGAGTTTTTTTTTTTTTTTTTAAAGTAGACCTTAAAGTAATTTTCAAAACTATTTAATTTTGACAAATTGAGTTTGGTTGTAGATTTAAGGAGTTATGAGAACTCCTTTTTGTAATAAATCATTTAATAATTTCTAACAACATTTTTAGGAGTTTTGAGAACTCCTTAAATTTACAACGAAAGAGTTTTGAAAACTTCTTTTAATTATATATATATTAATTTTTTTTCTTTCTTATTTTTTAATAATTTCTGCGTCCGCCTCTAAAGTCATATTTATTTTTTGCGTTGTTGTACTTAATATTAAAAATATCCTTATATTTGTATAATTTTTTTGTACAATTGTCCTTTTATTAGTATTAGAAGATATTAATTAAAGTATTTTTGTAATTTTTTTCTTAATTTGTACTACATTTTGATATAATAATTAATATTCAAATATATACGAAAAAGTAAATTGGACCCGTAGAGCAGGATGAAAGTAGTATAATTTTTCTTTTGTTCATTATTTTCTTCCTAATGTAATTTAAGATACATTTCTTTTCTTTTCTTTTTTTCTTTTTTTTTATTTTTTTAATCTAAAACATAATTTTATATTTGTTGATATAAATTATTAAAAAATATTTCATAAACATTTATAACAATTTTGAATTTATTTATTTATTTTAAATTTTTGGATGATATTGATAGTTTCAATGTAGATTTTATAAATTTTTTGGTTTTAAAAAAATTGTGTGTTCTTTAATGAATATAATATTAATAATTATTTGATTTTTATTTCTCTTTTTTAATAATTTTTATAAAACTAAATCATAATAAAAAAATTTTACAAAATTATAATTTGTCTCATATTATTTTTTTAACCATAAAAAATATAAATATAAATATATCATACATATAAAGAGTTTTAAACTAATTAGAAAATATTCAAAATTTCAAAAACATAAAATAAAATATAATAGTAATAATATTGCAGATCATATATCTTTTACATATATATATATATACTAATATGATACGTGTATAGATATAATTATAGCTCTTTTATATTTTTTTTATTACTAGAAAGTAGAAATAATGTAAGAGAAAATACAATTTTACTAATAATTTTTATTATGACTTACTTTTAAATAAAAATTACTCAATTCATCACTTTAATAAATTCATATTTATCTTTTATATCATTGTGCTTAATTAAAAATATTTTTATATTTGTATAATTTATTTATTTTATAAAATAAATATATATTTTTTTTATCTTGATTTGTACTACTTTTGAATATAATATTTAATATATAAATATTAACATACAAAAAAATGAATGTCAACTTATTAAGTGGACGAAAATAGTATTAAAAATAAAAACTATATATATAAACCAAATATTTATTAATATTATATTCATGAAAAAAAATATATCATACATATAAATTGTTATAAATGTCTTTGGAACATTTTTTCAATATTTTATAAAACTAGCAATAAAATACGTAAGAAATATAATTATATTTTAGATTAAGAAAAAAAGGAAAAAAATTATCTTAAATTACATCAGTAAGAAGATGGAGAACAAAAAATTTTTTTATTAAAAAATAAGAAAAAATAAATAAATTAATATGTATATGGTGTGTTCAATTACGAGATTATACTCCAAATACACTATTTATTCAATTTTTTCTCCAAAAACAACAAATAAACACATATTTTTATATTATACTACAAATTAAATTTACATTTAAAACATCATATCAATACATATTTATATCACATCATACAATTATTCCAATTCAAAATTTTTACTATTCAAATCTTAACTCAAAATCCAAACTATCAAACAAACACACCCATAGTTAAAAAGAAGTTTTCAAAACTCCTTCATTGTAAATTTAAAGAGTTCTAAGAACTCCTTAAAATGTTGTTAGAAATTATTAAATAATGTACTACAAAAAGGAGTCATGAGAACTCCTTAAATCTACAATCAACGAGTTCTGGGAACTCTTCAATTTGTCAAAATTAAGTAGTTTTCAGAACTACTTTCAGGTCTATTTTTTGAAAAAAGAAGTTTTGACTTAGGACATTTATTTAAAAAACCCTATATTCTGCCTCTGTATTAGACAATGCCACAACTGGTTGTAAGGATGCTTTCCAGCTAACTGCACAACCACTAATGCAATACATAGCTTGAGAGAGATCTCCTTCTATCGAGATCGCCAACATAATCAGAATCTACATATCCAACTAGAGAGCTACTATTTCTTCCAAACTCCAAACAAGAGACATATATCTGCTAACAACAGTGATTGCCTGCGAAATATTTGGACGGGTGCATACCATTGCGTACATAAGACTTCCGACTGCATTTGAATAAGGAACTCGTGCCATTTCTTCTTCCTCTTCAACTGATTGTGGTGACTGAGCAGCTGATAATCGAAAGTAATTAGCAAAAGGGACACTCACTTGTTTGGCATTATTCATGCCAAAACGCTCCAAGATCTTCTTAACGTAGTTTTCTTGAGTTAAGATCAGTCTTCTTTGTCCACGATCATGTTGAATATCCATGCCAAAAATGTTCTTCGCTGCTCCCAAATCCTTCATTTCAAATTCACTACTAAGCTGCAATTTCAGAGAGTGAATTTCAAACATATTCTTGGCAGCATAAGCATATCATCAACATACAACAATAGATAAATTGGAGTACATCGGCTAACTTTCAAAAATAAACACAACCATCATAAGTACTCCTCAAATATCCATTACTCAACATAACAGAGTCAAACCTCTTATACCACTGTCTCAGAGACTGCTTCAATCCATATAAGGATTTCTTCAACAAACAGATATGGTCTTCATTTCCTCTGATTTCAAAACCCTGGGGTTGCTTTATGTAAATATTCTCTTCAAGTTCCCTATGCAGAAAGGCTGTCTTAACATCCATCTGT